GACAAACTCATCATTTCTGATTGCTGCATAATATTCCATGGTGTATATGTGCCACATTTTCCCAATCCAGTCTATCATCATTGGGCATTTGGGTTGATTCCAGGTCTTTGCTATTGTAAACAGTGCTGCAATGAACATTCGTGTGCATGTGTCCTTATAGTAGAACGATTTATAGTCCTTTGGATATATACCCAGTAATGGGATTGCTGGGTCAAATGGAATTTCTATTTCTAAGGCCTTGAGGAATCACCACACTGTCTTCCACAATGGTTGAACTAATTCACACTCCCACCAACAGTGGAAAAGTGTTCCTTTTTAAATGTACAATTACATTATTATTAACCATAGCCACCCTGTTGTACTACCAATGCTAGGTCTTACTCATTTTTTTGAACTATTTTTATTCTCTTTAACCATCCCCACTCTATCACCATACCCACCAACTACCCTTCCCAGCCACCGGTAACCATCCTTCTACTCTCTATCTCCATGAGTTCAATTGTTTTAATTTTTAACTCCCCAAAATAAGTGAGAATACACAAAGTTTGTCATTTGGTACCTATTTCACCTAACATAATGATCTACAGTTCTATCCATGTTGTTGCAAATGATAGGCTCTCATTCTTTTTTATGGTTGAATAGTACTCCATTGTGTATATGTACCACATTTTCTTTACCCATTCATTTGTTGATGGACACTTAGGTTGCTTCCAAATCTTGGTTATTGTGAACAATGTTGCAATTAACATGGGAGTGCAGACATGTCTTCGATATACTAATTTCCTTCCTTCCCTCCCTTTCTTCCTTCCTTCCTTCCTTCCCTCCCTCCCTCCCTCCCTCCCTTCCTCCCTCCCTCCCTCCCTCCCTTCCTTCCTCTCTTTTTCTCTCTCTTTCTTTCTGTCTTTCTTTTCTTTTTTGAGATGGAATTTCACTCTGTTGCCCAGGCTGGAGTGCAGTGGCGCGATCTCAGCTCACTGCAACCTCCGCCTCCCAGGTTTAAGTGATTCTCTACCTCAGCCTCCCAAATAGTTGGAATTATGGGTGCCAACCACCATGCCCAGCTAATTTTTTTTTTGGATCTTTAGTAGAGACGGGGTTTCACCACGTTGGCCAGACTGGTCTTGAACTTCTGACCTTGTGATCCACTCGCCTTGGCCTCCCAAAGTACAGAGATTACAGGATTGAGTTACAGTGCTTGGCCTGATTTCCTTTCTTTGGTGTCTATCCAAAAGTGTGATTGCTGGATCATATGGTAGCTCTATTTTTAGGTTTTTGAGGAACCCCCAAACTGTTCTCCATAGTGGTTGTAGTAATTTACATTCCCACCAACAGTGTAGGAGGGTTCCCTGTTCTCCACATCCTTGCTAGTGTTTATTATTGCCTATCTTTTGGATATAAGCCATTCTAGCTGGGGTGAAATAATATCTCATTGTAGTTTTGATTTGCATTTCTCTAATGATCAGTGATGTTGAGACCCTTTTCATATGCCTGTTGGCCATCTGTACATCTTCTTTTGAGAAATGCCTATTCAAATCTTTTGCCCATATTTAAATCAGAGAATTTAGATTTTTTCCTATAGAGTTGTTTGAACTCCTTATAAATTCCAGTTTTGAACCCCGTGTCAGATGGGCAGTTTGTAAATAATTTTCTCCCATTTTGTGGATCGTCTCTTCACTTTTTCATTGTTTCCTTTGCTGTGCAGAAGATTTTTAACTTAATGTGATCCCATTTGTCCAGTTTTGCTTGGTTGCTTGTACTTGTGGGATACTGATCAATAAATGTTTGCAAAGACCAGTGCCCTGAAGAGGTTCCCCAATGTTTTCTTGTGGTAGTTTCATAGTTTGGGGTTTTAGATATAAATCTATAATCCACTTAGATTTGATTTTTGTATATGGTGAGAGATAGGGGTCCTAGTTTCATTCTTCAGCATATCATATGCAGCTTTCCTAGCATCATGCATTGCTGTCTGCTTGTTTTGTGGCCTTTTCTTCCTTCTTGTTTTCCCTTTAGTGAAGAGGATTTTCTCTGGTGATTTCTTGTTTTCTTTTTGGGTATCTGCTGCACATTTTTGGATTTGACATTACCATGAGGTTTGTAAATAATATCTTATGACCCATTATTTTAAACTGATGACAGTGTAACACTGATTGTACAAACAAACTAACATGCAAGCAAAGAGACAACTAATGGAAATTCTACACTTTAACTTCATATCCCACTGTTTTTGTTTCTATTTATATCTTATTATATTGTCTATGTCTTGAAAAGTGGTTGTAGTGATTACTTTTTATTGGTTCATAATTTAGCCTTTGTAATTAAGATACAAGTAGTTTATACATCACACTTACAGTATTATTATATCTATGTTTTTATGTGTACTTATTATTACCAATTAGTTTTATACCTTCAGATAATTTCTTATTGCTTATTAACATCATTTTCTTTCTAAATAAAGAACTCCCTCTAACATTTCTTGTAGGACAGATCTGGCATTGATGAGACCCTTAAGCTTTTGTTTGGGAAAGTATTTCTACTTCATGTTTGAAGAATATTTTCACTGAATGTACTATTATTGTAAGGTAAAAGCTCTTTTTTTTTCCTTCAGCACTTTAAATGTGTTATGACACCCTCTTCTGGCCTGTGAGGTTTCCATTGAAAAGTCTGCTGTCATATGTATTGGAGTTCCACTGTATTTGTTTTATTTCTCTTGCTGCTTTTAGGATACTTCTTTATTCTTGACTCTTGGGAGTTTGATTATTAAACGCCTTGAAATAGTCTTCTTTTGCCTAAATATGCTAGGTGTTTTATAACCTTCTTATACTTGAATATTGATAGCTTTCTCAACATTTGAAAAGTTCTTTGTTATTATCCCTTTGAAATAAATGTTCTAACCCTATCTTTCTACCTCTTAAGGCGAATAACTCTTAGAGTTGCCCTTCTGAGGATACTTTCCTGATCTTGTAGGTGTGCTATGTTTTTTTTTGATTCTTTTTCTTTCTTTTGTCTTTTCTGAATGTGTATTTTCAAATAGCCTTTCTTCATGCTCACTAATTCTTTCTTCTGCTTGACCAATTCTGCTATTAAGAGACTCTGATACATTCTTTAGTATGTTAATTGCATTTTTTGGCTTCAGAATTTCTGCTTCTTTTCACTTAATCTCTTTGTTAAATTTATCTTTAAGAACTTATGGAATTCTTAATTCCTTCTCTGTGTTATCTTGAATTTTGTCAACTTTCCTCAAAAAGGCTACTTTGAATTCTCTAAATTGTCACATATCTCTGCCTCTGGGATTGGTCCCTGGTGTCTTATTTAGTTCATTTGGTGAGGTCATGTTTTCCTGGATGATCTTGATGCTTGTGGATGTTCCTTGGTGTCTGGCCATTTGAATTTTTAGGGATTTACTGCAGTCCTCACAGTCTGGGCCAATTTGTACTTGTCTTCTTTGGGAAGGCTTTTAAAAGTATTCAAATGGACTTGGTTATTGTGATCTAACTTTTTAGTCATTGTAGCCATACCTGCATTAAGGGACACCCCAAAACCAGTAATGCCGTGGCTCTTGCAGACTTGTAGAGGTACTGTTTCAGCAGTCTTGGAAAAGATCTGAAAAAATTATCAGGATTACCAAATAGAGACTCTTATACCCTTTCCTAACTTCTTACCAATCAAATATTCCTGTGGCCACTACCACTAGGGTTGTGCTGGGTCTGACTTGAAGCCAGATAGCACTGTGTCTTGCTCAAGGTCCACTGCTACTCCTCCCTGGCTACTGCTTATGGTTGCTCAAGGCCCCAGAGCTCTACAATCAGCAGGTGGGAGGGCCAGGCATGCCTGTGTCCTTTCCTTCAGGGCAGCAAGTTCCCCCAAACCATAGAGATGCTGCTCAAAACCGAGGTCTGTAGTCAGATACCTTAGAAAGCTACCTGGTGCTCCATTCTACTGTGATTGAGCTGACACTGAAATACAGGATGAAGTCCTTCTCACCCTTACCTCCCCTTTCCATAAGCAGAAGCCTCTCTGCCTGTAGCTACCACCACCACGGACCCATGAGGAGTACTACCAGACTACCACTTATGTTCACCCTAAACCCAAGGGCTCTTCAGTCAGCTTGTAGTGAATCTGGCCAGCACTGAAACTCACCCTTCAGGGAAGTGTGCTCCTGTGTGCCAAGGCAATTCTAGAAATGCCAACCTAGAGCCACAGCCTAGAACTGGAGACTACAAGCTCCTGCTTGGTGCTCTACCTTTCTGTGGCTCCGCTGGTACCTAAGCTACAAAACAAAGTCTCCTTCACTCTTCCCTCTGCTTCTCAATCAGAAGGAGTTTCTCCCCATAGCCACCACAGATGGGAATGTCCTGGGTCACACCTGAAGCCAGCATGTCTCAGAGTCTCACCCAAGGCCTACAGCATGTACTACCTGTCACTGCTGATTATTCAGGGCCATGGGCTCTATAGTCAGCAGGTGATGAATCCTGCCAGACTGGGCTATTTTCTTCAAGGTAGCAGGTTCCCTCCTGGCTCAGGTTATATCTAGAAATGTCATCTGGGTGCTAGAGCCTGGAATGGGTACCTCAGGACTATGCCTGATGCCCTGTCCTACTGTGGCTGAGCTGGTATCCAAGTTGCAAGACAAAGTCGTCTAAACTCTTCGCTCCTCAAGAAAGAAAGGGGTCTGTGTTGGCGCTGTGAGCTCTTTGAGCTGTGTTACATTGGGTTCAGGAAGGGATGGCACAAGCAATCCCCTGGCTTCCCTGGCTGATGCCCCTCAAGTTCACCGTCCCTCAGCCCTGCACAGCACTAGGACTTGCCTAGGAGTAACAGTCCCTGTGGCCCAGACTGCCTTTGTAATTTATTTAAAACCCCAAAGCACTTTATCTCATGGTGGTGAGGCTTGACAGAACTCAAGTTACAACCAGTGGGATAGATGATTCCTCTCTGGTTTGGGCTGGTCTGGTCTAAATGCTCCATCCATGAGTAATGGCTGAGTTTAGCCTATTGTTTCTTTCCACTGTGACACAGAAGCTCTGAGTTCCAAACCCAAGTCTCACAATCACTGCACTGTCCCTCCCTGAAGCACATAGATTTCACACACTGCCAGGGGAAGGCGGACGGGTGGCATCAGCAATTCAAGATGATATTTCCTACTCTCTTCAGTGCCTCTTTCAGTGATATGAAGTAAAAGCCAGGTACTATGATTGCTCACCTAATTTTTGGTTCTTACAAAGGTGCTTTTTTGTGTAGATAGTTGTTAAATTTGGTGTTCCTGCAGGGAGGATGATTCAGTGGAGGCTTCTATTTGGCCATCTTGAGTTTCCTCCCTCTATTACCCTTCAGTCTTGATCCTAACTCACCTCTCCACTCTCATTTTCTACTTCTTTTCCACCTGTATTCCAGCCACAGTGTACATTAGCTTATAGTTCTTGGAATATCCCATGTACTTTCACAACTCTACACCTTTGCCTGTGCCATTCCCACTCCCTAAATGACATTTCCTTCTTTCATTCCCTGGAAGATTCCTAGTTATCCTTCAAAGCCTAGTTCAAATGTTTCTTTCTCTTTTAAGGCAGAACTACTTCTTCCCTGTGCTAGGCTTACAGCACTTTCTATATGTATCTGTTGTAACACTACATTATACCATAAGTATTTGCTATGACTATATATATATATTAATATATACATATCCACAGGCAGCTTATCTTGTTTGGAGGCATTAGCCCATTTAAAATTTTCAGGTATATGTAAAGCAAACACCCTATTCATGCAGCTATTTTTGAAGACCTACATTTGGGCAAGTAGTGGGTATCCAGAATAATATTATTGCCCAAAGAAACTGCATGTCTTTCCCAAGTCCAAGTACTGAAGTCATAAACATTTATTTATACCAAAACAGTAGTATATATGAGGATATATGGCTTACTTATGATGCTAAAAATACTATTTGTGAACTCATAAATCAAATTCAATTTATAGCATACAGCTTATATATATATTCAGTAAGATATTAATAGACAATAATGCATTTACTACAGAAGCTCTTAGAAGATGAGTTCTTTAGTATAGATTTTCTACATATAATTAGGTCAGGTACCTGTACATAATTCCCAAATTCATATAATCCATGTTCTGTAGCATCATCAGAGGAAAAGTCTCATGAAAATAAGGGGAGTATCTTGATATAAGAAGTTAAAAGAAAATACAAAATTTCAAACACAATTTGAGCCAAAAAAGACAAATCATGCAACTTCTTTATTTAGCTGATCCTTGGCTCTCCATTCAAAGCTAAATTTCAAAGTCCTGAGGCTACCATATAAACTGGTGGCTGTGTACCTGTCATCATTCCTCCAGCCCTGATGAACCATGTGACACACAGTCCTACTCTCCCTCCATATGTGATCTTCCCCTACTCTTCACCTGGCTAAAACCAACCTATCCTTCAAATTTCAGTTTCAGTTTCAGTTTATCGGATATGTCCAGCTTGGTTAGGTACCTATTTTGGCCTCTCACAACTTCTGGGCTTCCCTCTGTCACAGCACAAATGATACTGTGTAGTCACCGCTCACATTTCGGTCTCTCATTATATTAAGGTATTGAGAGCAGGGATCTAATAGGTCAGTGTACAGATATTTACTGAATATTTACTATGTGCTGGGCATTATTCTAGGTGCGGGGAATATAGCAAAGAACAAAACAAAGGCCCTGCCCCCAAGGAGTTTTCATTATAGCTGGAGAAGTTTGTCTTAAATAAGTAACAAAAATTAAATAAAATAATATCAACTACTAACATATGCCATGAAGAAAATTAAATGGCATAATTTAGTAGTGAATGGGGTAGTGCTGGTATATTTTAACTAGAATTATCAGAAAAATATTCCCTGAGGAGGAGAAACAAATAATGAAAATTTTCCTATGGGAAGAGTATCAAGTGTTGGAGAGAGAAATGAGTTCGCCATCTTTGGGTGATGGAAAGAAGGTCACTCATAGTCACTGAGTGGAAGGGGAAGAACTAAAAGAAGTAGGCAGAACACAAGCCCTGTTAGGGCCCTATTGGCCATGGTAAGGACCTTATGTGAATGGGAACGAAAGCCATAGAAAGGTTTCAAGCCAAGAGAGACATGATCTGGCTGTTGTGTGGAGAATGGATTCTAGGGAGACCAATCAAGGCTATTTCAGTAGTTCAAACAAGATATAATAGTAACTTAGATTAGGGTTACACCAGAGGATATGGAGGAAAGTGAGTGGGTTGGGGACATATATTAGAGGTAGAGCTGGTAAGACTCACTAAAGGACTAGATGTAAGATGTTAGGGAAAGAAAAAAATTAATGATAGCCCCCAGGTTCTTACCCAAATTCATTTGGTATGATGAAAAATGCCTGAGTTTTTGTTTTGAATATATCCATTTTGGCATGCCTATTGGACATCTGGACTGAGAGACTGTATTGACAGTTTGATTATACTAGTCTAGAGTTCAGGAGAAGTTAAGGTTTAAAATGAAGATATGGAACTCATTAGCATATAGTTGACATTTAAAGCTATAGGAACAGATTAAATTATCTGGTAAATGAGTATAGGTGAAGAAGAGCAAAGAAGAGAAGAAAGCACAGTGGCTAGAGTATTTCAACATTTAACGTATGGGAGAGAAGAATACATTAAGGGATCCTGAGAAAGAGTAGCCACTGCAGAGAAGAAAGGGGACTAAGGGAGTGTAGTATCTTGGAAGCCTAAAAAAGAAAGTATTTTAGGAAGTAGGCTATCAGTTTATTGTGTGAAGTGCTGCTATTAGATCCAATAACATGATAACAGGGAAATGACACTTAGAACTGGCAAAATGATGGTCTAAGATGATCTTGATAAAAGTTGTTTCAGAAGAATGTTGGGAATTAAAGTTAAGAGTTGAAAGAGAAGAGTGATGCATGGTGAGAACATGGAAAGGATGAGTATAGACAACTCATTAGAAAAATTTTCCTGTAAAGTAGAAATAATTTATAGCCAGAAGAAAATGTGGGGCTAGGGGATGAACTGCCTGCTTCTCTTTCTTTCTCTCTTTCTTTCTTTCTTTCTTTCTTTCTTTCTTTCTTTCTTTCTTTCTTTCTTTCTTTCTCTCTCTCTCTCTCTCTTCCTTCCTTCCTTCCTTCTTCCCTATCTACTTATCTTTCTAAAGATATAAAATATTATCACTAATTTGTTTGAATATAGGAAATCCAGAAAGTCATATATATACATATATATATATATATATATATATATATTTTTTTTTTTTTTTTTTTTTTTTTTGAGATGGAGTCTTGCTCTGTCACCCAGGCTGGAGTGTAGTGGTGTGATCTCAGCTAATTACAACCTTCACCTCCTGGGTTCAAGCAATTCTCCTGCCTCACCCTCCCTAGTAGCTGGGATTACAGGTGCCTGCCACCAAGCCCAGCTAATTTTTATAACTTTAGTAGAGATGGGGTTTCATCATGTAGGCCAGGCTGGTCTCAAACTCCTGACCTCAAGTGATCCACCCACCTCAGGCCTCCCCAGAGTGCTGGGATTACAGGTGTGAGCCACTGTGCCTGGCCCAGAAAGTGATAAATTTAAGACATAGAAGAGATAGGGATAATTTTAGTAAGATCAAACAAGGTCTGAAATATAGGCAGTTGGACTTAGAAAGAAACAAGGACATATTCCATTCTAACAAGAGGAAAGGCAGAGTGTGTGGGTAAGCATACAAGTAGGCTGGTGAATTTTCAGGTAGTTTCTATCATATGGCTTTTTTTTTCCTCTATTAAGAATGAGATAAAGTCACTAGCTAAGATGACCCATTTGATTGCATATTTGTAATGTTCAGAACAGTACACAGCATACAATAGGTGCTCTGGAAATATTTGCTGAGTGAACCAATTATCAAACAAAATTGCACATGATCTGGCCTCATGAATTGAATCTTCTTAACTTGAGAAGAAGAGCTCTACAAGGACAAAGTCTTAGACTGAAATCCTGGGTCTGCAGTTACCAGTTGTAAGACCCTCACTAAAGTACTTGAGCTCTCTGAGTCTAAAATTTCTTATCCATAATATGAGGCTGAAATGTCTACTTCATAGGAATATTATAAAAATCAGACACTATATATAAGCACTTGTCATAGAGCTTGGCACGTAAGTGCTTGATAAACGGATATTGCCACCAGTGGTGTATATTGTCATCATTACTGCTACTTCTACTAATATTGGTCACCATCAAACTCTACCATTTGTTTCCTGAAATAGATTGCAAATGCTATAAAGTAAAAGACACTGTCTCATAAGCCTGTCATAGTAAGCTTTTTGTTTTTTTAAGATGATAGTAGATACAATTGCTTTGAGTATTCCAAAAACAGAAAGAACTCTTTAAGTTGGGTAGTCAGAGAAAGCGTGAAGCCCAGAGTTTGAAGACAGAAGCCAAACTATTTCATCTTCATCTGTATTTTTAAAAATGCAATTGCATCAATTATCCCTTTCTGCCTTCACAAGAGTTCATGGCATGAACATTTTTCTCCTGATCTAATAAATAAAGACTTAAGAGAAGTGAAATGATTTAAGAGCTCAGTTTATAAACGTGGAGCTGGGATGTCTGCATCCACATGCTCTGTGCTCTCTGCTACATTCATTTGTTGAAACATGCCACAATAAGAGCCAAATAAAAGATAACAAAACTGGCAACAGAAGTGTGAGGTCCATCTGAGCTATAGCTTGCCCATCTGATATTACACGATATGGTGGAGACTGGTGGATGACCCCCAAATTTCTTCTCCTTTTCTTAGGCATATGTCTAAACCACATTTTCTATGAACATTCTCACTGCAATAAATGCTAGCCATGTCATCAACTTCTGACCTGTGGAATGTAAATGAAAGTGATGTGCACCATTTCAGGTCTAAGCTTTAACTAAGGCACTGAGCTTTCCTTATCAACTCTCCTTTTCTTCTTTCCATCATTTAGAACCCAAGGGGGCCTACATTTGTGCAGAGGACAAAAATGTCCTAGGTGAAGGTGGAACAGGGCACTGGAAGGAATGTGGATTCCTATGTAACTGTGGGGAGTAGAGCTGTCTGCCCACCTAGACTCCTCAACTCAGAACCATTTGTGAAAGAGAAATAAACTTCATTGTTCTTTAAGTCACTGTACTGTCAGGGTTCCTTGACTATTACTAACACATATTGAAACAGATTTG